GATACCTCACACATAATAAATTATTCGAATTCCGAAATTATATATTTAGTAAAACTTTATGAACTATGCATACGAATGATATTTTATTTACTTGATAGCCTTCAGGTGACTCGGAGTAGATGCGCTGAGCGCTATAACGTCACCGACAGCTTCGTGAAATCCAGGATTTGCACCTTCTTTAAAAACGGTGGGCTGATTTTTGTATTGTAAATAGTATTCTATGTGACCCATTTCGTGGTGTGCGGTCAATAAATCTTCCATGTTAACTCTGCTGCATTGTTTAATTCTGAAATCTTTGCTGTCGTAGAAATCCCAAGCACTTGCATGACAAATCATATCACGGTCCTTCAATTTTTCCAATATCGATCGTTCCCAGAAGAGATCCGGCATTGCGGTAAGATTTATTGAAGTGAAGAAATCCTCGGCAGTGCGGAAAATAGTTGTTGCATTGTAGCCTAAGGAAACGATTGCGTAAAAACTAAAGGAAGTTTGTATGTAAATTTTGTTGATTCTAAATATACGATGCCTTCCAAAAAGTAATAAAATCTTGTACTTAATTGTACAGGGTGTATAATAAGTTTGTGTAAACACCACCACAGCGGGATTCTACTCCTTTATATCGGTGGACGTTTGTAAAAAAAAAGTACTTGCAAAATTTTCTTCAACTTCGAAATATAAGGTCTGATTGTTTTTTCTTGCATCCTATTCTACTCGTCGCGAGGACAAAAGTGTCAATTGAACAATGGGTTGCAACGCAACCGTTCTCTTGAAAAATGATGTTAAAGTTCCAATAATTTTATTTCAATAGATGACATGAAACAACGACTTAAAAGGAACTGTTTAAATGTGAATGCTAAATAAATGAACAATGTAATGAAAAATGTAAAAAAAACGCGTGAGAAGATGTTTAGAACGTAATGGTGGAACATTTAAGCATTTGTTGTAGATGTTCAAAAAGAAAGTTAAATATAGAGCTTGTTAAATAACGCAAAATTTTCCTTTATAATTTTTTTCTATCTTCAATAGAAACAGAGTTATTGTCCAGCCCAGTTACTAAACTCATCCTGTATGTGTAATACTCACGCAAAAATTGAAAAAAATATTCTATATATCCATTGTGTAGTTTTGGAATAAATATTGTTTGTTTGCACTTTGTATATTTTTCTTAATTATGTATCTAGGCTCCTACCCACTTTTTAAAATAAAATAATTTTTGAAAATCGTTTTGCCATTGATTTTTTAAAAAAATAAATTGAGAGAAATAATGATTTACATAGCATAAATGAAAAATACAACTTAAAAATTCCTTCTGACATGTTTATATGTATGTAAGAGTAGTACATATTACTCTAGGTCGAGATCGACCCGTCGTCCGTGGTGCGCATGAGTGTTACACAGTCCACTGTCCGAGTGTTAAGAATTATTGAAAATTTAACATCATTTTTAAAGAGAACTTTGATACTTTTTGTCCTTGCAACGAGTAGAATACGATGCAATCAAAAAAAGATTTGACCTTAAATTTCAAGGTCAAAGACAGTTTTGCATATACTTTTTTTTATAAATGTCCACCGATCCAAAGGTGTAGAATCCTGCTGTGGTGGTTACCTTTACCTAACCTAACTCTGTACATATTAAGAACCAAATAGTAAGATACGTGAGGTTTGACAGTCTAACAGTAAGTAAGTGGCATAAGTGATTAGTTATAAGTTTTACTTATTCCATTAAACTTTCAACGCTGAATATAGAAATAAAAGTATAGAAATTATATAATTAGCAACAGTAGAATAATAGCACAAAATTTTGAAGTAAACATTTCACTACGTTTTGCTTTAATTTAAATGCATAGTGCGAAATTTTTGTCAGTTATAATAAAATTCGTTTATATTGATCATTGTTTTGGTTACGCGGGTGTTTATCCGCATCGGGCATCTGTGCGAATACAAGCGTTCAATCTTAATGTGGCGTACAGTTCCCAATATAATAATTCATAAATAAAAGAAGTTCTTTCGCTTCATTTATACGCGCTGCATTTTTATCTGTATGATAAACTGTGACTAGGGAAGTTACCCAGTTGTTAAATTAGTTTTGAAAAAACAATGGCTAAAAGTTATAAGGTTGGACCTCGTAAGAACTGAAATAAGTGTCACTCGCCCGGAAAAACCAACATTGGCCAGAAAAATGACATCAAAGTCCGTCGTAAGCAGTTCTGAAAATGCATATAAATAACTTTCTTTTTATAATTTTTTAAACTTCGCACGTTTGGTTGAGTACATGTAAATAAAATAACAGAAAAAGAAACAAAAAACGCCAACATGGGGTCACAGTCTGATAGTGAGAGTTTAAAGACCTAATCCAAACTTTGGGGAGTCGAGTCAAGAAAAAAAAATGTTAACCTCCACCTCCACTATTGCGACACATGAACATAAACTCGCTTATTTTAAACATTTTAGAAAATATTTTTGGACATATACATTGAAAAACAATTAGATTAACTTTGAAAAAAATTAATTAATTTTTAAATCCCCATAATCGGACTTGAACCCCATATTGATGCTTTTTGTTTTTTTTCCCACTTATTTTATTCACGTATATCTAAAAAAAACTTATAAAGAGATAATTATTTACATATATCCTTTTTCAAAGTTGTTCATGACGGACTTTGATGCCATTTTTTTCGTCAATACTGAATTTTTCTGACGTGTGGCATATTTCAGGTCTTAGGAGGTTGGTTCCTATAATTTGCACCCATTGTTTTTCAAAACTAATGTAACATATGTTTCCTTGTGAATATTGCACGAACGCCCGTGGACTACACGCGTCGTTCTTAAAATAACCTGCGTTGCTGCTACAAGAAGTTTTAATGTTAAATTAAAAATTATAGAAATATTACGCGGGGCATCATGTAATACAGGTCAACATTTTTACAATATAAACACGATATAAATTTATTCTATGTATATGTTATCAGTCTATAATTAAATATTAAACGAACCTTGTTTAATCATGGCGTCAGTAACGTCTGGCAGTTGTTTTCCCGGATATGGAATAGAGAAGTCAGCAATATTGCTCCAACTTTGTGCCCACATGTTGCCTAATAAATGTGCTGGTATGGGACCGTCTTTCGAAACCACGTTCTCACCGTACTTTTTTCGAAGTTCTCGGCGAACATACGCGTGTAATTGTAAATAAAGTGGCTTCAATTGCTGCCAGAGTGTATCTGCAAATTTTTATTATTAAAAATTTATATTACGTTTCGGCAACTTTTTCTATTTATTTTCATTTACTCTCATTTCTTATGTTGGATGCCAAGCTTTGTGACTCAAATATTTACGATTTAAATTGTAATGAATATTGCTGAAATTAAGAAGTAAAATCTTTTTTTCTTATAAAATTCACGGGCTCAATAAATCGGTAAGTAATTTCAGCAAAATTTTATAGGTAGATAAAAAGTATATGTATAATAATAATTATTGTTATTATAGTAGCAGTAGTATATATTATTATTGTTTTATTTTGTACACACCAATTTGTTCGGGAAATTCATCAGTCTCGTAATCCTTCATCCAATAGGCTGCGTTGTCAGTAAAATTATTTAACGTGGCAGCCATGTTACTTAATTCAACGTATCTCGTGAACAAGGATTTCATTTTTTCACCGGTTGCTTTCCTCCACTGAACCCAGATATATTTCAATTCTTCCGGGTCATGGCTCTTCATTTGGAGTTCAGTAAGTTCCGGTTCCAGAGCGAGATCGCATTTACTTTGATTCTTATAGTCGCATATTTTGGCAGTGCTGTAGATGTTCTCCATATCACTTATAATTTTCTCGTATTCTTGGTAAAGCTGTAACAAGTTTTCGATTAATACTAATTAATTACTTGTTAGGTGAAAATAATAATATTAACGGTAATAATACAAACGAGAGCACTCTACGAGTTTGTACTATTGCATTTTTTACGCGGTTTTTATATATCCAAACATAGCAGAACTCTGTTATGAAACTTTACACTGGGGTTGTATAAACTACTTAAGAAACGAGCAACCATTTGCGAAAAGCATGAATTTGCATGCCTTTTATAATGCTTCAATTACCTAATTACATAATACAGTAAATTCTCTACAAGTGTCAGTCAGTTTTGATTCTACAAGTGTCAGTATAGACAGTCCTACGCCTAGGTCTGCGTCATTGCTGCGCCTATGTTATCTCGCTCGCAGTCAGTCAAGCGTGTAACGCTACACCAGTCGGTTTCTTTTACGAGATTTCACGGCTCGACAATTCATAATAGAAAAATATAATTTCTTTAATTTTACTTTTTTTCATCTGAAATTTTTTTTAACACGTTGGTGAGATTTTTCTGATGAAAATGATATCAAACACGACATAATTT